AGAAACTCCTGAACGCTCAGATGAATGAAGCTGTAGACTTTCCTCTGATGAATCACAGATTCCTGCTTAAAGATCTCAGTGCAAATCCCAGAATACACTGAGGCGTCAGTGAGGTCTATGCCGCTCTCAATCAGGTCCTCCTCATAGAACATCACATTGCCCTTCATCAGCTGTTTGAAAGCCACTTCAGCAAGTTTCACAATCACTTCTCTGTTGGACTGCAGGAGTTTCTCTGGATCTCTCTCTTCATACTTCTGGTTCCTCATGTTGATCTGAATCAGCAGGAAGTGGATGTACATTTCAGTCAGAGTTTGAGGGATTTCTGCACTCAGATCTTCTTCCAGGAGCTTCTGAAGCACAGTGGATGAGATCCAGCAGAAGACGGGGATGTGGCACATGATGTGGAGGCTTCTTGCTCTTCTGATGTGTGAGATGATTCTGCTGGCTTGATGCTGCTCACTGATTCTCTTCCTGAAATATTCCTCCTTCTGAGGCTCATTGAATCCCTGAATTTCTGTCAGACGGTTGATGTATTTGGAGGGGATCTGATTGGCTGCTGCTGGTCTGGAGGTGATCCAGATGAGAGCAGAGGGAAGCAGCTCTCCTTTCATGAGCTTTGACATCAACACAGCCACTGATGAAGTCTCAGTCACATCACAAACTTTCTGAGCGTCTGAAAACATCAGTGTGATTCTGCTTTCATCCAGACCATCAAAGATGAACACAACTTTACACTCCTCATAAATCTGTGAGTCCAGATCTTGAAGTTCAGGATGAAAGTCCAGCAGAAGTCTGTGAAGACTGTACTGATGATCGCGGATCAAGTTCAGCTCTCGAAATGGAAGCACAAACATGAAATCTACATCCTGATTGGCTTTTCCCTCGGTCCAGTCCAGAATGAACTTCTGCACAGAGACGGTTTTTCCGATTCCAGCAATGCCTTTAGTAAGAACAGTCTTGATCTGCTCTTTCTCTTCACATCCAGGTTCAGCTGAGGCTTTAAAGATGTCATTGCAGTAGATTGGAGTGTCTTGTAAGTGTTGAGTTCTGGATTTATTCTCCATGTGTAAAACCTCATGTTCTTCATTCACTCTTTCACTCTCTCCCTCTAAGATGTAGAGTTGTGTATAAATACTGTTCAGTAGGGTTTGATTATCTTGTAGTTTGATTCCCTCAGATAAGCTCTCATACTTGTTTTTCATTATGGTTTTGTATTGATCTTTGACTTTCTGAAAAACATCATCATCTGGTTGTTGAGAATGCTGCTGCAAATCTCCAGTTTCTTCAGTCAAGGCTGGTTCCATGACAGGACACGGTCTGGTCTGGTCCGAGTTGCAGCTGATACAGTGTCTTCTTAAACCATTGCCAGAGACTGCATCTATCAGAACCTGCTCACAAACTCCACATCTGGACTGGTAATTAATTAGATCTTCCCTTACCTCACTGCAGAACCCCAGGAAAAATAGTAGTCATAATTGTTATACAGTATGCATACAAAAAGCCATAACAAAAACAACTCACCAATAACCTACCTTGGATTTCTGAATTGTGATTTATCGTGAAATCCAACAGGTTGTTTAATTGAACAGTTGCTCTTCATACAGACACAGCTAAGAGCACCTCCCTCTTCTTTCTTCTCATAGAGATTCATTTTGGATGCAGTCCTGACTGTGTATGTTACTGCACTGATTATGATCAGTATTGTAATAATTATTTTCAAGATTACATCTAAGAAAAAAAAAAGATAAAGGAAATTGAGTTCTGATATTTCCTTATAATGGCACCCTGTGTTTTCCCTCTTAACTTTTTAAGCTTGGGCTACATGCCAGAGCCATAGCCTAGTGGGCTATGCGCTCATGACATCTTGTGCTGATGTTTAGCAGGTGACCAGAGTTTGTAGTTTGCAGAGTTTTGTCAGAGGTTCTTTCCTGATCCCATGCCCAATCTTCTCCCCAATCATTTCCCGTCATCTCTCCACTGTCCGCTATAAAAGCCAAAAATATAATCTTAAAAAAGGCAAGGGTACACTGTGATAGCCATTCGGTGGCATGTGCTGACATTGGAAAAATTTCAAAAACATTCATTGAAGTTGACTTAGGGTGCTTTCACACCTGTAGATCGATTGCTTTGTTCCGAAACAGGGATTAAAATGATTACAATGTTGCTTTTTATTCTTGGTGCGGTTTGCTTTCACACGGCAAAGTTTCTAAACGGACCAAATTTGTTAATACAAGTCATGCACAAGTAAACTGTTCTCTCATTGGTCAAAGTTCCACGGTTTATTTTCCGGGATTCCACTTAGCTGTCACGGCTGTCATCTGTCAGGATGGAACGACAACAGCTTTGCGGGCTTATTGTTTTTTTTGTTTTTTTTTGTAGATGTAGTTATATTAACATCACTTTGAGCAGGAGTCCAGGATTGATCGGGAAAACATTTTTTAAATGCACATACTAGGAAGAAGAGCAATAAGACGGCATTATAAAATGAAAAAGTGCGCTTTGATTTTGAATGGCGAAGACGTGCTCACCACAGACATTCACAGGTTCATTTTGAAGTAGGCTATTAGCAAAACAACAAAGCTAATGCTTTTCACAGAACTTATGTAATTACCCATTATACATTGTGATATAGCCTGGTTCGTTGGCCCGTTAGATCGGATTGCTTTCTCACTACAACCAAGCTGAAGAAAGACTATGAATTGGATTCAGAATGATAATCAAAACGTAGATAAAGTCGATCAACACCCCAAAGCTTGACAGTCATTATTACCTCTTCATTGCTCGACATTTTATTCCATAACGTTGCACAGTTTTGATGCTGTTTTATGTCTGATGATCGTGTTAGAATACATGTAGAAGCATCTGTTGTTTCGGTTTCTTCTTCACTTGTGTTTTTTTTGGAAATTCTGTACAGAAGATGTGTACTAGCGCCCCCTACAATGAAAACACGGATTCTCAGAGCACAGGTATAGCTCAAATATATTTATTTATTTAGTATAAGTCAAGTATACTTAAATGTCATTTTAAGTATATTTAAGTATATTTCTGAGAAGTACATAAAGCCCATGTCTGAGAAGTACATAAAATTAGACTGAAAGTATACTTTCCTATTTTTTTTGTTTAAACGAAGTATACTAATAGCACACTTGAATAAACTTCTTCTTCTTAAGGCAAAGCACCCTTATTTACAGCTGTTTTTGCTATATGAAAGCCTACAGTATAAAATGATAGAGATGTACAAATTCCATCTTGTCTCGAATTCCTCTCAGACAGTTTTGAAAAGAAGCCAGAAAATTACAAGAAACACTAGTTACACAACAAAAGGCATTAACCGATTCTTTCTTTCTTTCTTTCTCTTTCTTGTAATCTGCCGTGGTTTTGCCAGAAACTACAGTCAATCTTTTATCTTTATCTGCAAAGTGTTGAAAGTTTTCCAGGCATTCCAAATCATAGTTCTGTAGTTTAGACAATACAAAACTGTTTACTTTCTGTTTAAAGCAAAGAAAAATTTAAAAAAGCTTTTTAATGTGATGTACGCACAAACACAATGTTACTTCTCATTTGATTTTTACTTGTTATGAAATGTGATGTGATTTATTTCTCACGCAGAGTAACAGATAAAACAACTCTAACGAACCTATAACCCTGTAGTTAGTTAATAAAACACAAGTTCCTAGGGTTCTCCCACATTTTAATGTTATCATCTATAAAATGCCTTTGTAAAACATTAACTTACATGTACAATATTTACTGTACATAATTCAAAGCAAATGTAAAGACAAAATGGCAATGCACTCACCTTGAAATGTGTCGCAGCTCTGGCATGCTCTGTAAAGTACATCTGCACTCTTCAGATTCATCCGGTTAAACCAGTTGAGTTTTGTCTTCTCTCAATATACTTCTTGTTGACAGGATGAACTCTATGAGGAAATGATTTCTATCATCTTACTAACTTGCCTTGCTATAGTGTATAGCTAAAGTGTATAGCTTTATAATCCACAGGCAATCAATTGCATGTCATTCTCCGCACACATTTTTCACACAGTACACAGTATATCAGGAAATACATTGACTTATTTATAAAGGCAACAACTATTTTAAAAGTGTTCAGGAGACTAGTGTATAATATTTTATATGATTTACATGTTTAGCATGTAAACCTTAGGCTTTTTCTTGAATCAAAGAAGTTATGAAATTGGCTGTTGACATATAAAAGATCACACTTTCCCCAGAAGAAACTTGACAAAGCTGATAATGTGGTGAAATATCAGTCTGACATCATTCAAATGTTAAAGCATTAAATCTGTCCTTTGAAATTGTTGTGAAATGATACTGGAGAAATTAACAGGTTGTGTGCTTAGGTTGGACTATCCAAAATAGCTTCTTTCCCTTAATCCGTGTGTGTTTGAGGAGACGTCTGATCTCATAAAAGCTATATGCGGTGACTGCATTTTTGTAAAACAGTATTACCTCACTACATATTTTGCTGCAGTTTCCAGCTGAAATGTACAGCATGGGGCGCCAAAAGTGTGAGATCATATTCAGATAAGCTTTTCAACTGTAAAGCCCCATTCATACTGCCAACGACACACAGCAACAAAGCGACATGATCCCATTCATTTTCAGTGGAGTGTTGGCGACATCCGGCGACATGAGCGACCGAATGTAGGCGAAGTCATGCTACAAAAGTTAATAATAGTTTAACTTTATGCAAATGAACAGCGAATTTCACAAGCGACAACCAATGGGCTCTAAGCAACGAGAATTGTGATGTATTTCCGCTCATACTTTATACCAGCAAGGGCGCTTCCGGTTTGTATGGTAACTAAGAGAAACCATCAGCTGTGTGGGAGTCACGCCCCCTCACTAAAACAACAAAGAAAACGTCGTAGTTTTATACAGTTTAAAATCGAGTTTATTTAAAAACTCCATCAATAACAAGTTTAAGTTGTTATCATTCACATCAACTGATTAAAAACATGAAATTATACATAAATTCTACAATAAATACTATTTTACAACTGTCCCCATGTTTTCGGTCAGTCCTGTCACGTTTACATAAAACTCAACATAAAATGTGTGTAATGCGCCTTTAAAGGTATGACTCAAAGGAAGTGACATAATTTGACTGAGGTGAAGCTGACACTGATCAAGGGTGAGTTCTGTCATTGAATTGTATGATTTTAAGCTTGTTTTTGTATGTTTTTTTTTTGGAGGAGGACGAGCTAAAGGGTCAGGCCCTTTCACGGTAAAACATCCCAGAAAATAATGAAAATCTTTTAAATCCAAAACATGTCTAAAAAAAGTTACTGAAATTCCTTGATTGCATGTTGACCGTTTTTATGCTAGCATGCTAGCAGGCTGAGTAATGGCAGTTTAAAATGGCCGACCGTCAGGCCCCATCACATCAGGCCCTGTCACATCCCTGTGTGACGGGGCCTGACAGTCCTGTGACACTGCCTTACAAATGAATGGCATTGTTATTTTTTTATTACCTTTATTGCATATAATATGTATTTAACGCATGCCATAGTAAATCATTATTTGAATAAATAGACATTATACTGTAAATCTGAAGCTTTATATGCTCATCGACAAATTTTTTTAATTGTATCCCTCTTTTACCTAGGCCTATGTAGCACTGCACTTTGTATATTAATTATATTTCAATACATATGAAGAGTTTATTTGCAAAAACAGATAACTCAATTTTTAACAATTCTCTGAAATCATGTTTTTTCATTGTGCATTCCAATTAATCTCAATCAAACTTTAGTTGGGTTATTTTGATTAGGTTAAAAAATAACTAATAATTACAGCTAACTAACACAATAAAACACAATAAAAACATGATTACATAATAAAAAACATGATTTTTGAAAAATTTTATTTTAGAAGAAGAAAGTGTGCAGTTTCAAAACACTCGCGCCACTGACAGACGTCATTGAAACTTGTCATCAAGATTTGACATATGAACTAAGTTACAATAAACCCGTATAGGTCTGCACTATTAATCGCTGATGTAGCATTTGGATTTAGGTCAGTTGGCAGCGCGCTTTTCTCGTTCTGGAGTCTTTGATTCGGGAGGTGAGTGTGGCCTGCAGCTAAATAGTTTTACTTACTCCGTCTTCGCTTGTTATAACCAGAGTTCATTCTAGTTGAATGAAGCGTTTTACTATTAACTACTATTTATATTACAATA